AAGGAGCTTCTCCAAACAGGGAAGGAGCTTCTCCAAACAGGGAAGGAGCTTCTCCAAACAGGGAAGGAGCTTCTCCAAACAGGGAAGGAGCTTCTCCAAACAGGGAAGGAGCTTCTCCAAACAGGGAAGGAGCTTCTCCAAACAGGGAAGGAGCTTCTCCAAACAGGGAAGGAGCTTCTCCAAACAGGGAAGGAGCTTCTCCAAACAGGGAAGGAGCTTCTCCAAACAGGGAAGGAGCTTCTCCAAACAGGGAAGGAGCTTCTCCAAAGAGGGAAGGAGCTTCTCCAAACATGGAATGAGCCTCTCCAAACAGTGAAGGAGCATATCCAAACATGAAAGGAGCCTCACCAAACATGGAAGGAGCCTCTCCAAACATGGAAGAAGCTTCTCTGAACAGGGATGGAGCTTCTCCAAACATGAAAGGAGCCTCTCCAAACATAGAAGGAGACTTTTCGAACTGGGAAGGAGCTTCTCCAAACAGGGAAGGAGCTTCTCCAAACAGGAAAGGAAGTTCGGAAAACAGGGAGGGAGCTTCTCTGAATACAGAGGGAAACTCCTTCTTCTGCAGCACAGTCAGTTGCAGCAGGGGATTTCCCCACCCACAGCTGTACGTAAGCAAACGGGCAGGGTACAGTGATGTAATTGACCTTATATAGCCACATGGCTATATTTGGTCAATGACAATTACCTAATATGGCCATGTGGCCACATAAGGTAAATACCTAATTATTTGTGACCTGCAGCTGGGGAAGGGGGAGGGGTGGCCCCAGGATGCTTCCAGGTTCAGAGGAGCTCAAACCTGGCCCAAACCTGAGCTCTCAATCATACGCAGGCTCAGTGTTCAAGGTTTTGTGGTTGTGAAACTATTACCTGTGCTCCGCTGGTCACTTGTTGTTGTTGTTTTCCCCATGGCAGGATACTACTAATCTTGCCATCACTAATGATGATATCGCAGGAGGATACTGTATTGCCCGTTATCACTCTCTTACTTCGAATGATCCTAATTTTTGTTCCTAGTGTGACATTCATTATTCCTGTAATTATGAGGTGAGAGATTACTCAAACTCTGTATTAGCATTGCATATGAAGTAATCATAATACAGTATGTATCTCACCTGTAAATGTTGTACAGTTTTACCAACTTCTATAGACTTAGAGTGACAATAAACTCAGGAGTTAAACTTTCAAAATGTATCTCATTTGTGTATCACTCGGCTGTAGATCCTCAAATCATCTCTGAATTGGGAGTGAGCTTGGCGCGGTGACTACTTTACAACACACACAGGGACCATGGGGAAGAAAAGTAACCACCCTCCAGACGGAAGGACAGTGTCAGCACCAATTCAGAGATGATTTGGGGATCTACAGCCGAGTGATACACAAATAAGCTTGTTTTTTGTTAATAGTTAAAGTGACATTAAACCCTCAGATTTTTTAACATAAAACAATACTGTAATGTGTGCCTTACTGTAATCCATGGTTGTTTCCCTTCTCTTTGCTGCTCTTCCTTTTAAATCTGTATCTGTTCTCATGCTCTGCAGAACTTCTGTTTTGCAGCAGACGGCCTTGTCTCAGGAATGGATACATGGTGTCTGTGTATTAGTTTCTGTAGACTTGTAACCTGAGCCAGCACTACAGGAAGAGACCCTGAGCTGAAAAGGGAAGTCCCCCCCAAGCATGAGAAGACATGAGGATTTAAAAGGAAGAGCAGCAAAGAGTAGGGAAACAACCATGGATTACAGTAAGGCACACATTACAGTATTGTTTTATGTTAAAAAATCTGAGGGTTTAATGTCACTTTAAGGTACTTAAAGATTCTTAAGATTTATCTCTTACATTTGTGTCACTTTAACGCACCAAGATGAAAATTAATGCATCACCCAGAATTCTAAAATGTCATATAGTCATGGCATAAGCATTATAGTTAAGGCAGCTGCATTCTCTTTTTGCTAGCAGCAGGTTTAAATCTGAAATCCGTTATAAGCAAATATTGTCTAAATATAAGAGACATGTGTATTGTTCCTTGAATCTTGGTGAGCTTTGTATATTTCCTTCAGATCTGTGCAGTAATCCAGAGTGAAACTTTGCCCCTGTGCAGGAGCTTCATTTAATGAAGACCGGTCATTGCTGCTCTCTCTTCTTGTGCAGGGTGACTGGTCTTGTATCCGCCCCCTCCTGTATTTTTCTGGCAGCCTGTATTGGGTGGAGCCTGCATGGTCCCTCCCACAGCTCTACTCTCTGCACAAGCTATGTACAGCACATTGTTGATGTCACTGCTACAAGGTAATATCTGGGCTTGCAAAGACATTTGGTGCACACAAATTGTATTTAAATCCCTTGGGACCATGAAGAACATATTTAAATTAAAGTTTTTGTTCTTTAGAGTTCAGCTTTAATGTATCGCCCAGAATTATAAAGTTTCATATGGTCGTGGTATCAACAACACAATATCAGTGATATCCATAGCCACGGATGATTCACAACTCCTATACATGGAAATCTTCTCTGTAGTATTGGCCGGTCTGGAAAGCTTGTTCAGTGTTGGAATCTGCATTTTGATATCACATAGTCAAGTCAGCTGATATGTGTCCATGATAGGGCTGTCACCTTTTCTTCAAGCGAAACCCGAACGTGCGGACAGTTTTTTGGGAGAATGAGCCGTGGCTTATTCATATGTAAATAGTTGAGACTATTTTCAGTGCGGGGCCAGTAGCCCCTATCTTAATTTTGGTTGCCCCTGTCTGTCTGACATCTTGTGTCCGGGTTTCTGCTGCCATGAAACCCGGACACAGCATTCAAAACCCGGACTGTCCGTGTGAATCATGGACAGGTGGCACCCTAGTCCATGATGGACTGGTGGCAGTACATTAATGGAGTGACTCAAAGAGGAAGTTCCTAGTTCAAAGTAGTATTCAACTCTCACAATATATTCAATAATGAATCCAGATCCATGTGAATTCACAGTGTGAATGGGTCCTTAGTGTTACTGTGACAACTGTCTCATCACTGGTCACAGGCTGGATGTGGCCTATTTAACTGCCCTCATAAACAGGGTTCCAGGGGCCCTCATATGATGTGAATATTGTAATATCCGGAGGACCAGAAGATGTAGGTTTACTATTAAAGTTGAACTCCAGACATACAGGGAGGAATTTGTTAAAACGGGAGCAGAAAGAATCTGAAGCAGTTGCCCATGGCAACCAATCAGCATCTCTCTTCAGTTTGCTCAGGTAAGATTTAAAAATGAGACAAAGAAGCTGATTGGTTGTAGTGCAAATCTGCTCCAGATTTTGTCTGCCCCAGTTTTGATAAATTCACCGCACAGTATATAAAAAAAATACCAATTCATGTAGTTAGCTATTTTTTAAAAAAAAAAAAAAAAAAAGTGCTTTAAATACAACTAGTAGAGGTACCTGCACTTGACCAATCAGGTAAGCTGCTTGCACATTTGCCTGCAAGGACATGCTGACAGGAGGAGAGAACAGAATGAAGGGAGTGTAAGCTGCTGCGGCTCTTTCACTGCTCTAATCACAGGCTTGGGAGAGCGAGGTGAGCTAGCTTATAACTTAAAGTAGTATTAAGTTCTCAAACTATTTTCAATAATGAATCCAGATCAAACAGATCAAATTTCTGTACATTTTTGTCCAAGCACTTTAAGAGATCATGTTTCCAAACAGCCGACTCCAACTCTCTTATCTCAGCCTCCTTGAACTTCCTGTCCAATACAAGCTCACAAGGGACAGCATAGTCCCCAGCAACTGTCCATCTACTGACTTGTAGAAGGGAACTGGCAGAAGGGAGGAGGTAGCAGGAAAGTGCATTGCCATGCTGTGGAGCCACCCTTGTGTGTGAGCCACACACAAGGTTGGCTCCATAGGAATCTGCAAGGGAAAGAAGCCACCCTAAAACAGAATATCAGGGCCAGTGCTCAGGGAACCACCTGATTCTGCAGGAAACTAAAACCTTTAAACATCAAGGAGCAATTTCCATTGTAAGTGATTTCATCAGCATTTCAAAAAGCTTAAAAACCTTTTGACTTTAAAATCACTTTAAGTACAGCAGAGACTAGTTAGGTCACCAGCCTGCCTGTACAGTCTGGCATGGCTGTGTAAATCTCAGGACTGGACAGACAGAAATTCTTTGGCAAGTAAAACATCATCTATATGTATTTATCTGTTTGTCTGGAGTTCAGCTTCAAGGAACCGTTCATCTGATTGTCATTTACCTGCTTTAGATTTTAAAGCCATTGTGATGTCACTGCACAGTCTGGATCCTCCTACGCCCCAATCTTCTTCTAGTCTTCTCTATGGGAATATTCTAGTGCTGCTGGAGACTGTCTCTCTCTGCCTCTGAACTCTGCTTCCCCCCTGTAATCTTTGCTCTTTGTCTACACCTAGGCTTCTCTCTCTTTTTTTGCTGACCTTAATAATTGTTCTAATGTGAATTCCCTCCCAGTCTGCTCCATTTCTCTCTGGAAGAATTAATGATTGACATACTGTGTCCAGCAGAGTCACCGAGTACTGACACTTCAAAAGGGAGATTGCAGTAATGAGGGGTTTAGCATTTATTATGTATTGTTACATGTATCACCAGCCACAACACTTGATATAATAATAATAATAATAATAATAATAACAACAACAATAATTACTTTACATTTGGCAAATATTTGCCTTCTGATTAGTCAGTTGTATATTTTAAATATTGTCCTTTTCTAGGGTAAAGCTGCACTTCAGGAAAACAGTTAAAGGAGAACTCTTGGCAGAAGTTGTATTAACCCTTGCAGTGGGGCTACCCCATCACTACAAGGGTTAACTGTCCATTTCTGGCTAGGGC